CAGAGGGCTGTGGCAACTTAGTGGTTGCGTCAGGAAGGGCATCCAGCTTAAAAATAATTAAATAATTGCCAAGTCTTCGTATGACTTCAAACCCCGGTCCAGGGGCCTTCTGGGTGGAGTTTGCATGTTCTCTCCGTGCATGCGTGGGTTTTCGCCGGGTACTCCGGTTTCCTCCCACAGACCAAAAACATGCATGTTAGGCTGATTGGTAACTCTAAATTGTCCCTAGGTGTGAGTGAGAGAGTGAATGTTTGTTTGTCTCGTTTGTCTCTATGTGTCCCTGTGATGGACTTGCGACCCGTCCAGGGTGTATCCCGCCCCTCGCACAGTGATTGCTGGACATGGGCACCAGCGACCCCTGTGACCCAAAATGGAATAAACGGGTAAAGATAATGGATGGATGGATGGGATATATATATATAGATATATATATATATATATCTATATATATATTATATATATATATAAGGTGTTTTAAACCCTTCCCACACTCTTGCAATATTCTAAGCAATGTTTCTAAACTCTAAAGGCTCTAAAAGAGCACAGAATGTCATGATTTCATCTCCTTGCCTCATCTGCTCTCAGCCACCTGCAAGCGCTATTGGCCACACCCACATCTCCGCTCTGCACGGAGATCAGCTGATCAGCTGCAGCAGGAAGTTTATCCTGAGGTACGGGCTGTACAAATGCAGCAGATGCTAAATAATTTAAAATAATTAATAAATAAAAAAATCCATGCCGATCATGCGGCTCATCCATCATCAGTCAATTGTGTCATATCCACTCTTATTTTGAAAAACCACGATAGAGCGAGTCTGCAATAAACGAACTGCGACATAGCAAGGAACTACTGTATGTATACGCACCCCCCCACACACACCCATACACACTACTGAGAAAAACAGGTTGTGTTCCTATACAACAGCTTTAAACAAATAATTAGCAAAGGTTTGAACATTCATTCACAGATTTTCATATCTGGGGTTGTTGGGGAGTGAGTGTGCATCATCAGCTGGCGTCAGACAGCCACCTCTCATATTTCCTCTAAGCCTGTTGTTTTTCTGTTTTTCTTCCTGGCCTTTCTAATGATTTAAAAATGTCACGAGAAACCAAAACCCTTGCAGTGGAGTTTAATGCTATCATTTTTGAGTATGTATAACTTTTTTCAGAGTAAAATTAGTTTTGTTGTTGTTGTTTTAAACAGTGCAACATTTTAAGGCTTGTTTTGTGAACAAAATACAGAAGACACCTGAAGATGAAACCTGAATTTCTATCATTAGAAAATAACTAATCACATTGTTAGTTTTAGAAGCAAATTCTGTTCTTGCAAAAACTGTTGTCCTATTCTGAAAAGTAACACAGCACCCCCAATGCGTCTGAAAATATAAATTAAATGTTTGAGAAGCCAAATTAAAATAAATTCAAAAGTAAATGCAGTAAATATGGAAACGCTTAGAATGAGTATATATTGATGAAACATATGTTTGTCATATTTATCAAAGTAAACGGAGCAGCAGCTTGCACACTGAAAACAAGAATATTCTGGTGTTTTCAGTGATAAGGATCAGGCTAAAAACAACCATCTGCAGCTACTAGTTAAACATTAAAAGGTTTGCCAGGGCTCAGAAAACATCTCAGAGAGGACTCAAACATCCGGTGAATGTGCAACGTAATGAACTACATCTGGTAATGTGAAGATATTGTATTTATACAAAAAAGTCAAAATAATGAGTGGATCTCATTTCTACTGCATATGTACTGTATATTAGAATCAGAATAAACTTTTTTATCATTGCACCGAGATACAACGAGAACATGTACGTACAGTCGTCCGAAAGATGGGCGGAGTGCACGATGCTGCTATGAAAGTGTTGCCCTCTTATTCTTATTCAGAATAATATTTTGCTTAGATGAGAAAAGGGAAGAAAACATGAGGAGAGATTGTATAAAAAAGATCTCACGCCGTGTCTTAGACAGGGCACGATTTGAGGCATCAGAAAATCCTACCACAGCAAAGCAACATAAACAGACGTGATACATGTACATACATGTATAGGCCGGTGAAGACAATGAATTTTTAAGGGAACCCCCCCCCCCCCCCCCCCAGCCAATGTCCAGATAAGAGGTGACATTTATCATCAGCTTGGTTGAGGTTCTGTCACATGTCCACAGCCTTGGGGAAGGGAGGGGTGAGGAGATGGACAAAGCATCTTTGTTTTTTTCAAAACATATACAGTGCCTTGTGAAAGTATTTGGCCCACTTGAACTTTTCAACCTTTTGCAACATTTCAGGCTTCAAACATAAAGATATAAAATTTAAATTTTTTGTGAAGAATCAGCAACAAGTGGGACACAATTGTGAAGTGGAATGAAATTTATTGTATGTGTCAAACTTTTTTAACAAATAAAAAACTGAAAAGTGGGGCGTGCAATATTATTGGGCCCCTTTACTTTCAGTGCAGCAAACTCACTCCAGAAGTTCAGTGAGGATCTATGAATGATCCAATGTTGTCCCAAATGACTGATGATGATAAACAGAATCCACCTGTGTGTAATCAAGTCTCTGTATAAATGCACCTGCTCTGTGAGTCTCAGGGTTCTGTTCAAAGTGCAGAGAGCATCATGAAGACCAAGGAACACACCAGGCAGGTCTGAGATACTGTTGTGGAGAAGTTTAAAGCTGGATTTGGATACAAAAAGATTTCCCAAGCTTTAAACATCCCAAGGAGCACTGTGCAAGCAATCATATTGAAATGGAAGGAGTATCAGACCACTGCAAATCTACCAAGACCCGGCCGTCCCTCTAAACTTTCATCTGGAACAAGGAGAAGACTGATCAGAGATGCAGCCAAGAGGCCCATGATCACTCTGGATGAACTGCAGAGATCTACAGCTGAGGTGGGAGAGTCTGTCCATAGGACAACAATCAGTCGTACACTGCACAAATCTGGCCTTTATGGAAGAGTGGCAAGAAGAAAGCCATTTCTCAAAGATATCCATAAAAAGTGTTGTTTAAAGTTTGTCACAAGCACCTGGGAGACACACCAAACATGTGGAAGAAGGTGCTCTGGTCACATGAAACCAAAATTGAACTGTTTGGCCACAATGCAAAACGATAAGTTTGGCATAAAAGCAACACAGCTCATCACCCTGAATACACCATCCCCACTGTCAAACATGGTGGTGGCATCATCATGGTTTGGGCCTGTTTTTCATCAGCAGGGACAGGGAAGATGGTCAGAATTGATGGGAAGATGGATGGGGCCAAATACAGGACCATTCTGGAAGAAAACCTGTTTGAGTCTGCAAGAGACCTGAGACTGGGACAGAGATTTATCTTCCAACAAGACAATGATCCAAAACATAAAGACACATCTACAATGGAATGGTTCACAAATAAACGTATCCAGGTGTTGGAATGGCCAAGTCAAAGTCCAGACCTGAATCCAATCGAGAATCTGTGGAAAGAGCTGAAGACTTCTGTTCACAAACGCTCTCCATCCAACCTCACTGAGCTCGAGCTGTTTTACAAAGAAGAATGGACAAGAATTTCAGTCTCTCCATGTTCAACACTGACAGAGACAAACCCCAAGAGACTTGCAGCTGGAACTGCAGCAAAAGGCGGCGCTACAATATTAATGCAAAGGGGACGAATAATATTACATACCCCACTTTTCATTTTTTATTTGTTAAAAAAGTTTGACACATCCAATAAATTTCATTCCACTTCACGATTGTGTCCCACTTGTTGTTGATTCTTCACAAAAAAAATAAAATTTTATATCTTTATGTTTGAAGCCTGAAATTTGGCAAAAGGTTGAAAAGTTCAAGGGAGCCCAATACTTTAGCAAGGCACTGTATGTATACATTTATATATATATATAAATAATAAATAAATAAATTTTATATATATATTTATTTTTTTTTTTTTTCATAAAATAAATGTTCTTGTATGTTAAGAAATTGTTGTTAATTGTTCCTTTAAAGCTCTAAGGCAGGGGTGCCCAAAGTGGGGCCGAAGCCGTTTGAATTTGGCCTGCCAGGAGATGTTCTCATTACTATATTAAACTCTCGTAAGCCAAAGTATCCACTGTATTTTTATTTCATCATTGGAATGAATCAACACCACTGGTGTTGGTCCACTGTGTTTTCTGAGGTCCAAGGTCAACGCAGCCGTCTACCAGGAGGTTTTAGAGCACTTCATGCTTCTTGTTGCTGACCAACATTATGGAGATGCAGATTTCTTTTTCCAACAGGACTTGACACCTGCACACAGTGCCAAAGCTACCAGTACCTGGTTTAAGGACCATGGTATCCCTGTTCTTAATTGGCCAGCAAACATGCCTGGCCTTAACCCCATAGAAAATCTATATGGTATTGTGAAGAGGAAGATGAGATACACCAGACCCAACAATCAGAAGAGCTGAAGGCCACTATCAGAGCAACCTGGGCTCTCATAACACCTGAGCAGTGACACAGACTGATCGACTCCATGTCACGCCACATTGCTGCAGTAATCCAGACAAAAGGAGCCACAACTAAGTATTGAGTGCTGTATATACTCATACTTTTCATGTTCATACTTTTCAGTTGACCAGCATTTCTAAAAATCCTTTTTTATTGGTCCTAAGTAATATTCTAATTTTCTGAGATACTGAATTTGGAGTTTTCATTAGTTGTCAGTTATAATCATCAACATGAAAAGAAATGAACATTTGAAATATATCAGTCTGTGTGTAATGAATGAATATAATAAACAAGTTTCACTTTTGAATGGAATTACTGAAATAAATCAATTTTTTCATGATGTTCTAATTTTATGACCATGGTTTGGCCCCCTCAGGGAAAAAGTTTGGGCACCCCTGCTCTAAGCACTGGTTTGCAAATGAATCGACAATCATTTTTAGTGTTTTAACATAATTTAATTAATACAAAATCTTACTTTACAGTTTATAAATCAGTGTAAACATTTCAATACAGACAATTGTCCAAGAAGAAGTCTATAATGTTACAATGCTTGACAGAGGCACATCACAGTCTCCAAGGAGATAGTCTCTTTTCAGGGTGGACATTTTGTTCACTACTTTAAACCGGAGCGATCTTTGGCTGAGCTCTTCCTCCGAGACACCATCAAAGAAGAAATCTTCATTGAATATTGGATTGCGGCTCTTTCTTATTACTGTGCTGCGCTGCTTCTGGACTTTTCCTGGGACCAGAGAAATGCTAACACTGCAGTTGATGATCTTGGGGTCCACAGAGAGAGGATACAGGCCCTCAGCACTGATCAGTCGAACCCGTAGCCTTTGGTTATCTGGACAGTACTCTGCTGAGAGTCTCAGACTCCCATCTTTTCCTATTGTCACCATTTTTTCCTGCATTGCCCTCTCTCTGTGCAGTGTTAAGTCCATGGGGAAAATGTTGGGTGGTGCCAGACTATGACTGCTGGGCAGGCCTTCAGTCATCCCCTCCGACGTCCTCCTTATGATGTTTGGGCTGTTATCTGTGGAGCTGCCCTCATCTGTGGACAGGGAGTTATTCCTAGACACCATTGCTTTTCTTATGTTCCTTGACAGTAGCAGTTCATGGCTCAGTGTTTTAAAAAGGGAAGACTTGGCAGGGCATCTGGACAGCAGCGGAGAGCTGAAAGGGGAGGATTCGGTAGAGGACGTGTCGCTGTCCAACGGGCCCTGCCAGTTCATAGAGTAGCTTCTCGGGGAAAGCCTGGAGGTCAGGCTGTTGAGGCTGAACGAAGACGGAGAGGAGCAAGGCGAGGCAGGGTGGGTAAGTTTAGAGCACGTGCTGGATCGACTTCTAGGCAGCAGCAGAGGAGAGGAGCCTAGATCAGAATGGAAAATGGACTCCTTTCTCCTGGTGTGGGGGCTCTCAAGTAAGGTGCAAAAGCCATAGCTGGTCTGAGCTTTGGCCAAGTGAGGGAGGGATAAGGCCGCCTGGCTCTGGGGATCTGCGTTAGTAGTCTCCTCATCACTGCAACCATCACAGGGGCTCTCATCTACACTTTCTACCTGAATGATGTGAGGCTTAAACACGTCATGAAGCCTTGCTTCTGTTTCCAGTTTGTTCCTCTCACCCTGAGACGCCCTGACGGTGCGAGCTGCTCCTTTCTTTTCTGTGTTCTTCATCTCCTGCAGGGATAAAATCGTCGGCGGGATGCAGAACTCTGGGATGTTGTCAGGAGTGATGATGTTTGGACAAAGAGAAATCAACTTGGATTTGTCACTTTTGTCCCCTAACATGATGTCACCGATTTTAAAGCTGAGTTCTACTGATCGGATAGGCAGGTTCGATTTCTCTACTGACACACGCAGCTTCTCCACCACCCACATGGATCCTTTAGAAGAAGGCAGGAAATTCTGCAAAAATCACAAATCATTCTTAAGTTGTTGCTCTCACAATAAAAGCCATCTCATGACCCAAACAATTCTTGTGGTTTTCTTACCGTGTGTTCTGAAGATAATCCAAAAGTAATTTCAAGATCGGATGAACTGACAGCCCCAGCTGTGGTGATGCAACATGGAAAAGTTTTTGGGTTCTGTCAACAGCGGATGGAGAGTCAGCGGTTCTGGCTGTTTGAGAGACGCAGACGGTTTAAATGAAGCAGGAAACCAATAAATCTAACACACACACCCTCTGTGCTGCTGGATCCTCCCACTCCCATTTTGCTGCTGCTGGTTCCCATGGAAATATCCAGATCACAAAAGAGCTCACGGCCCCTGTGCTGCTCAGTCAGATAGGCTCTAAAGGCAAACAAGTGTTTTTACACCAGTGACAAAACTTCTAATTCATGTTTAGTTTTCCTACATTTAAAACAAGTGCTGCGTATGACCTTCTGTGAACACGAACATTTGATCAGATAATTTGGAAGCATTGTAGTTTTACGGCAAATGTAGCTTTCAGTGAAGCGTTGACCTCAGTTTAAGTGAATTGTTGAAGCAAGGGGAAAGAGTGTGTTCTGCTCGTTCCTACACTTTGATTGCAACTCTTTAGGAAATATGAAAAAGAAATCAACATTTTCCAAAATAAGTTGTACCTTATCAAATGCTTGGCCTTTTAATGAAATACACTTTATTGTCTATCTTTGAATGTAAGTAATCTATAAAAATCACTGATGAGCCTCTGTCTGTGCAGCATATTAGAAAAAAAAAAATCATCTGTGATATTGTTGAAATTTTAAATGGATCGAGACCAATGGTTGCACTATTTCAATTTTTACCAAATATGCAAAGCATAAACTGAAGCTGAAGCATTGTTGGTTATTATTATTTAATAAGATATTGGGATTTCGAGTTAATTAGAAAAAAATGTATAATTTTCTTGTTTTGTTTGCTAAAATGAAGTGTGAAATACAAGTTGTTATTTTTTCAATACTTTTGCTTTCATTTTATAAATAACATGCATATCAAATGGGTTGGTATGCTTTTTGATCAAAGTTCTAGTTTCTGAAACTATCATTTGCATCAAATGTGTCATGAATAGAACTGATTTCCATTTTTGTGTCCAAACGCTACTTCAGAAATGTAAGTGCTGCCCTCTAGTGGTCAAATTTAAAGCACTGGCATCAAGTTTTTATTTTTTATTTTAAAGAAGGGGTAGATTAATTTAAGTGCATTTAAAAAAAAGGACATAAATTGGACAGTTACATTTATTCAATAAATCACCAAATTAGTAAAATAAATAAATACACGAGCAAGCTGCATGGAAATACAGGCACATGTTTATTACCAAGCTTTAATTTTCTGCTCATTGAGCATAAGCGGTCTTCTTGCTATTTTTATATGAATGGCTTCAAGTGGCTCTTCTCACCAGAAAGATCCCGAAAGGTAGAGACAACAAAGCTCCATTCTGCCGAGGACAAGGTTCAAGTAGTGTATCTCTGTTACCGTCTGTTACCAGGCACTGAAGGACAGAATGATGTCAGAGGCTAACAATATACCGGGAAGATGTCCTAAATGAGGTTCTTCTCAGAAATGTTTTCCCTACTGTCCAGACCTCATCTGTAATTCAAGCATTTTCGCAAGCCCAAAACCAGAGAGCTTTAAAACAATCACACATTTTGAGGTCAATCATGAAAATACTCTTTCACATTTTAAATCTAATATACTGCCAGTGATCATTTGTGCCTTTTTCAAACTTAGCAAAGAGTTTTAAGAAAGAGTAAGTATTAAGTATGGTATTTAAATATTTAAAATATGAACGGTTTTAAACCACACACTGTTTATTTGTATTTTGCTTCCAAGGAGTCTGGCTTTTCTGTAAAATTTTAAAGTGATCTAGATCAGTTGTTCTTTGGGCTTAAGATACTCTTTCAACGGTTTTCTTTGATTTTTGGCTGTTTCCATCCATCTTCTGTCAAGTATTTGTCCTTACATTATGTATAGTGTGCGCTTAATGATAGGAAAGTGGACAGAAGAGGACAGCATCACTATCGTCAGTAGATGAACACCAACAAAAAGTCCTTAGAAAATATTTAGAATATAGAAAAATGGAAAAGACTTGAGGGCAGCACGGTGGCGCAACTGGTAGAGCTGCTGCCTCTCAGTGAGAAGGTCCCTGGTTCAAACCCCGGTCCAGGGGCCTTTCTGGGTGGAGTTTGCATGTTCTCTCCGCGCATGCGTGGGTTTTCTCCGGGTGCTCCGGTTTCCTCCCACAGACCAAAAACATGCATGTTAGGCTGATTGGTAACTCTAAATTGTCCCTAGGTGTGAGTGAGAGAGTGAATGTTTGTTTGTCTCGTTTGTCTCTATGTGGCCCTGTGATGGACTTGCGACCCGTCCAGGGTGTACCCCGCCCCTCGCACAGTGATTGCTGGACATGGGCACCAGCGACCCCCGTGACCCAAAATGGAACAAACGGGTAAAGAAAATGGATGGATGGAAGGAAAAGACTTGAAACAGGGCATGAAAGACACATCATCCTTCAGCTGATCATCAAGTGTTTGGGGTTACAGAAGCAGGTTGATGGAGCAAAATGTGTGCTTTATTTGTGAAACTGTGTTATATTTCGTGTTTTTATAGAATCAGCTAAAAAGATAAGAACAAATTGTGTCAACACGGAATGATTCAAATAAAGGTACAAACACACATACACTTGAAAATGTTCATGCAACAGACTGAAAATGAATGGAAAAAGCAGCCAATAAAACTCGTCAAAGCCTGCTGATTAAAAAAAACCTTTAAAAGATTACAAGGACGCATGTTTGCTTAGAACCAACAAGTAAAGAAATGAGACATGATTCAAAATTTTTGAGCAGTAATGTAAACATTTTTGTCATTAAAAAATTAAAGGTTGCAATGTCATTAGTCGAAGACCACGAGGAGGGAAACATGTCAGGAGACAGAGGGAGAAGATGAAAGTTAGAAATGAAAGACTGAGGGTGGCAACTCTAAATGTGGAGACAATGACAAGCAAAGGTAGAGAGCTGATTGACATGATGCAGAGAAGGAAGGTACATGTTTTATGTAGCCAAGTGACCAAGTGAAAGGGCAGCAAGGCTCACAGCATTGGAGCAGGGTTTAAAATGTTTTACCATGGTGGGGATAGAAAGAGAAATGGAATAAGGGTGTTCCTGAAGTAGGAGTTGGAAAAGAATGTAGTAGAGGTGAAGAGAGTGTCAGATAGGGAGATGTGTCTGAAGGAAGAAGTAGAAGGTCTGATGTTGAATATCAATGGTTATGCTCCACAGGTTGGATGTGACGTAGAGAAAAAAGATAAATTTTGGAAAGATTTGGATGAAGTGATAGAGAGTATTCCCAGGGAGGAGAGTGGTGATCGGAGCAGACCTGAATGGACATGATGGTGAAGGAAACAGAGGGGATGAAGAAGTGATGGGTAGGTTTGGTGTCAAGGAAAGAAACCAGGAAGGACAGATGGTGGTGGATTTTGCCAAGAGAATGGAAATGACTGTAGTCAACACTTATTTACAAAAGAGAGAGGAACATAGAGTGACCTGTAAGAGTGGAGGAAGGAGTATGCAGGTCGACTACATTCTGTGTAGAAGAGGACACCTGAGGGAGATTGGGGACTTTAAGGTTGTGGCAGGGGAGAGCACGGCCAGACAGCATTGGATGGTTGTGTGTAAAATGACTGTTGTTGTGAAGAAGAGAAAAAGAGTCAAATCAGAGTAGAAGACTGGAAGATGAGATGGAAGGATGTTGTGAGAAATTCAGAGAGGAGCTGTTAAAGGTTCTGGGTGGTGAGAAAGAGCTTCCAAATGACTGGACTACTACAGCAACAGTAATTAAAGAGACAGGTAGGAAGGTACCTGGTGTGTCATCTGGAAAGAGGGAAACCTCTAAGGAAACCTGGTGGTGGAATAGTGAAGTGCAAGAAGCTATTCAAAGAAAGAGATTAGCCAAGAAGACAGTGAGAGGACTGAATAGGAGACAGGAATATAAGGAGATGTAATGTAGAGCAAAAAGGGAGGTAGAAAAGCCAAAGCAGAAGGAGTATGATGAGTTGTATGGGAGGATGGACAGTAAAGAGAGCAAGAAGAAATTGTACCGAGGGATCAGGCTGGAAAGTATGTGTAGCAGGTTAGGCTTATTAATGATAGGAATTGTAATGTTCTATCAAGTGAGGAGAGTGTGACGGGAAGATGAAGGGAGTACTTTGAGGAGCTACTACAGGAAGTGGGAAAGATTAGTGAGGGTGAAGTCTGGAAAGCTCTGAAAAGAATGAAGAAGGGGAAGGCAGTAGAACCTGATGACATACCAGTGGAGGTTTGAAAATGTCTTGGAGAGATGGCAGTGAGACTTTTGACTCAAATATTCAATGGCATATTTGAGGGTGAGAAAATGCTGAATGGAGGAGAAGTGTGCTGGTGCTCATTTTTAAGAACAAGGGTGATGTAAAGAGTTGTAGCAACTACAGGGGAATTAAGTTGATGAGCCACGCAATGAAGATCTGGGAGAGAGTTGTGGAAGCAAGACTTAGATGAGAGATGATTATTTGTGAGCAACAGTATGATTAAAAGAGCACCACAGATGATCATCTTTGCTTTGAGAATGCTGATGGAGAAGAACAGAGAGGGCCAGAAAGAACTCTATTGTGTCTTTTTGGATTTAGAAAAAGCATGCGAGAGAGTGCTGAGGGAGGAGGAGTGGTATTGCATTAGTAAATCTGGAGTGACAAAGAACTATGTTAGACTGGTACAGGACATGTATGAGGACAGCAGGACAGTGGTGAGATGTGCTGTAGGAGTGAGAGATAACTTCAAGGTGGAAGTGGGATGCATCAAGGATCAGCTCTGAGCCCCTTCTTGTTTCCTCTGGTAATGGACCGACTAACAAATGAGGTCAGGCAAGAATCTCCATGGACGATGATGTTTGCAGATGACATTGTAATCTGTGGTGAGAACAGGGAACAGGTAGAAGAGAACTTGGAGAGGTGGAGGTATGCACTTGAAAGAAGAGTAACGAAAGTCAGCTGTAGTAAGACAGACTACATGTGTGTGAACGAGAGGGAGGAGGTGGAACAGTGAGGCCACAAGGAGCAGAGGTCGCAAAGGTGCAGGAGTTCAAGTACTTGGCATCCACTGTCCAGGTACATGGGGAGTGTGGTAAAAAGATGAAAGAGTCCGGGCAGGATGGAGTGGATGAAGAAAAGTTTCAGGAGTGATTTGTGATAAAAGGGTGTCAGCAAAGGTCAAAGGAAACGTTTTCTAGACAATGGTGAGACCAGCTATATTGTATGGTCTGGAGACAGTGGTATTGACAAAAAGACAGGAGAAAGAACTGGAAGTGACAGAAATGAAGATGTTGAGGTTCTCTTGAGTGACAAAGATGGATAAGATTTTCAGAATGAGATCATCAGGTTCAACACAGTTTAAACAACTGGGAGATAAAGTTAGAGAGGACATGGAGGATGCAGAGGACAGAGTGAGATGGAGGAGAATGACTCACTGTGGTGACCCCTGAAGAGGGAAAAGTCGAAAGAAGAAGCAGACTGTCATGAAGTTCAGTAAAAAATAAATAAAGTAAAAAACAAAACTCTCTTTTTTCATGTGGATGGTAAGGTCGGTGTACTTAAGTGACAGAAAATAAGTCACATGGTGACATTCATGAGCTGTTTTGACATACTGATATGCACTTTCACATAGATTTGTTTGGTAAAGTAAGCAGATAAAAGAGTTGTGTTTACATTGAGTGCAAACCCACACTTCAGAATTGCACATTAGCACAACCTGGAAAACCACTGAAGAAAACTATTTTAAACTGTGCCTTCTGTTATAATTCAGGCTAGACAATTTATGTTTGATTGCATAGTTTGAAATGAGTAACTTTAATGTTTTTGTCCAAGTCCAAATGCAGTATTGTTTTTCCAGGACTTTCCACTGTCCTGGTCCATCCTGAGTATGTGTATCCATGAGTCCTTCAGGGGGCGGTATGTGCTCAGGAAACATCAGCACTACACACCTTGTGCTCAGTGAGTGGGAGGGAAACCTGATTGATACCTAGAATCCACAGTAATTATTACTCAGATGGGCAAAAATAATCCAAACCCTGCAGGAAAAAAAACAAACAAACACATTTTATCTGTAATCCTGCCTAAAACCAAACACAAAAACCAGTTTATGAACCAGGAAAACAGACCCCTCAAAACATGAACAACAAAATGTATACTCTTTCCAGATGGGTGGTGTTTGTGCAGATTATGGGATAATTGATGTAAGATGCAGACAGGGAGGGTGCTCCTTCTTTAGACACCCTCCTCCTCCTCACTGTGGAGGAAGAGGCAGGGAGGATTCTCCTGCGCTCCTGCTTCCTGACACGCTTTTTTTTTTTTTTTTTTTTTTTTTCACACTTCACAGCGCAAACCCAAAGCATTTTTCCCCCTCATATAAATAATATAAATCATGAATCTGTGCTGATTTTTCAAATATATTAATATAAGAGAATGGGGGGTGGGGGGGAGTGACGCCGCTTCCTTTTTTGCGTCGCGCAGACATGTTTCCCTTTTCCTCCCCCCTTTTTTTTTTTTTTTTTAAACCCCCCCACCCCTCTAATCCCCATCTCCCCCCATCTCTCTCTCTCCACACTGTCCGACCAACGAGGAGGGGCTTGATGCCGTGAAGGAGGCAGGCAGGGAGGCTGTGTTTGACCCGCTTGTGGTGGTGTGTGCGTGTGTGTGAGCGTGTGTCTGTGTGTGTGTGTATGTGTGTGTGTGTGTGTGTGTTGCCTCGCCTACATCCATCCAAGTCCGCTCGCATGCGTTCGGGAGCGCGCGCCGTCAGGTAGGGTTTGTTGCAGTCTCGTTTATATCTTTCTGGTTTCCAACATGTTTCAGCCGCCGTGTGTTTTAAAGCGTTTGTGTCGGAGGGAGGCGGACCCGCTCCGTGTCGGCTCACGAGCGCA